ATCCACTCTCAAAAACTGAATTTTCCTTGTCTTCCAAAATTCTTTCGGCAGTGAGAGGCAAAGCAAATCAACCGTGCTTTTTGTTTTGGTGTTTTGTTTATGTGGTTTAATTTAGCTTGCTGGGTAGTTGAAGCTGACAGGACATAATATTCTATGGTATAGAATTGTAGCTTAGTTGCTAATCTAATAGAAATTAGGATTCTCTTCTGTAATTGCGTTCTGCAGTTAGTGTATTTTTCACAACGAAAGTGTAAAAAAAAACACTAACTGCAAAGTTTCTTCATGTTAACTAGGATGAGTTTGTGGCAATAGTCATGTCATTATTTATGTGTATTTCATGATTGAAGTGACTATGATTTGCCAACAATTATGGAAATGGTGACTGTAATTTTAGTAAAAAATAATATTATATGTAATATTTAATATAATTAATTTTTATTTATTTTAAATTATATATTTTAAATAAAAGACACCTAGATATATCCCATTTCACTAATACAAAAAATATTTTCATTTATTTTCCTCTTGGCGTTGTCCTCGTTAGGACACCTTTGTGTCATATCAAACTTGTTTTCAGTTGTGTCACTTAAAAATACTGTATAATAATACACATAGCGGCACGCAACGTGAATATAACTGTTTTTAGGTCGCTATGCATATGCAAACGCTTTTTCAATTGGGTTTGGTTGATATGTTATAATCTATGGAATTAAGCTTTGTTGGTTTGTCAATTGACTCAATACTATTAAGAAGGTCCCTCAGGAACGTTAACTATTCAACAAGAGACCACTTTCTATTAAGGATTCCCAATTATTTTTTCATTTTTTTGCAGGGGAACGTGACTTATTGGCTACCATATTTAATTTCTGAAAGAGAGATATTAATAACATTTTTTTATCACACACCCTATCCAGTACAAAAACTATTCATACTAGACACTTTTTCAATTATATAAAATAAAATATATTCATCATAAATCATATAGCATGATATCATTATAATAATCGTGTAGACATGAATTAAGTTACTCAGATAACAATTTCTTATTCAACTGTTAAATTTTAAAAGAAAGTAAATTTAAGATTACAAAAAATAATATAAATAAAAAATTATTAGTTTGTCAAACAATTTTATTTTAATGTCAACTATATATTTTTAAAATATAAATAAATAGTGATCATAAAATTATATATTTACAAACGTTGATTTATCTAAAATTTAACATGACGAATATAAATATGTCATGTTATTGATTATTTTATTAAAAAAATTCAATGTGCACAAAAAGTTATTAAAGAGAGTAATTCTTGAGTTTTGTTAAATTTACTCTCAAAATAACTTAGTTGTCACCTTTATTTTATTTCTGTTCTAAAATAATTTTATAATTTTAATCTTAATTATTTTTAGCAACTCTAATTTCAACATTATTTAAATATTGCGAAAAACATATTTGAATCGATTAATTGATATCCTTACAATAATTTGAGTCATTTAATTAATATTTGTTGCATGTTGATATAGGCTGATTAGATTACTCACCCAATAAAACAAAAAGGCTGATTAGATTTTATACAAGAAAAAACAACACAATCAAATCAATCAACTTTAGCATTATTATAAATTAATCAGATCATATATTTGAACCAAACAACTATTAGCTGCTTCAATAATTTGAATCAATAAAATAATTATTTTAAAAGATATTTAAATTTAAATATATAAATAATTAACACTGTATAATCAAATTGAATTTCAAATTAAACAGTATAATTTCGAGTATTCTAGTATCAAATAATAACAATAATAATAATAACATGCTTTATATTTAAAATTAAGGTCTTTTTGTTTAATTTTCATATTCTTTCTTTTTACTCCAAAATTAGTTTCATATTTTACTGTCATTCTAGTAATGTTTGATTTAATTAATAGTTTAAATATTATTGGAAATTAAGTTTAGAACAAGATATTGCACAACACAATCAAAACTTTCAATTAACTTGAAATTTATGAAATGATGTTAAATAATTGCTGAATACATAAAACAAAATAGATCAATACAAGGTAGTCTTAAAGCATAACTATGATAAAATAATTATTGGCTATACTTATTTGAATATAATAAATTTAATAAATTCATTTTTATAGGTGTGTCTAACTATTCATCTAACTATAATTATGGTGAAATATGTTTTGTAATTTTATTTTAATATAAAATTAATTCATTCATAAATCTTTTTTAGCGTATACTTAAATATAATATGGTTTAAATTTTAAAATTATCCTTTTTATTAATTGATTTGCATGGAAAATTAATCGTGCAAGAATATTTTATTTTGTAAAAAAAAATAAAAAAGAGTGAATATAAATTATTAAATCATATTTAAATAATCATTATTAAAAAAATACATATACATTTTCAACTGATCTTGTTACTACTGATTTTAATTTTAATTATTCAATATATAATTACATGATCTAAATTTATAAATTTTTCACATTTACTATAAAAACTATTCTCACTAAATACACTCCTTACATATACACACCCGTTTAGACATTAAAAAATTTCTTTTTATATGATAAAAAAATATTAAATCTTGATCACAATCTAACCATATATAATCAAAATTAAAATTATTCAATATGACATGACTAATTCTTAAAAAGAAAAAAAAACAAAGAAATGTAAATTGGCTAGGACAAGTCATCATAGCAAAGAGACTTCAATGCAAATACTATCATATTCCATTAGCTAGCGAGGAATAATACAAAATTATTTACTACAACTATTGCTCTTTTTTGTTTCTTTCTTAATTGGCCATTCTTTCGTATAGCTCTGTGGTAAACCTGTTTATGATTGAAAGAACTATTGCGTATTGACCATTGTAGAAAGAGATGATATCAGAATTGATGAATAACGAAGGAAGAATGGTCCAAGCATTCACATCATTCTCACCCATAAGTGGTTTGTTTTTTGAATGATGCTGACCTCCAGCAAATCCAGCATGGTAGGAATTGACTGAATGTATTATGTAGAAATTTTGTTGTTTACCTACATGATTCATAATTAACTTAACTTTTATTTTTTTTAAAAATATTAATAAAAATATAATAAGTATATTATTTTCAATAAAAAACTGTTAGTTTTTAACTTCTTTGCTATTTAAAAAACGTGTCACTTTTACCTGAGTAGAAAGATTTACAGGACAAGATAATAGAGAAATTTACCATTCTAGTAAATTATTAATAATGGTTACCAATAATTGGTGAAATACTTGTACACTCAACAGTGTTTAATTGTTTAAACTTGGCTGCAAGCAAAACATTAAGTGTAGAAAGCAGGTTGCTTAACCTATGTGGTTAGCATTGATAAGTGGTAGGTCCTGTCCAGCTAATTGCCTGAATAAAGCAGAACAAACAAGTTTACAAGTTGGAGAAACTATCACTCAAACGTCTTTACTCTCAATGATTAAACAACTTTATCGCTTTGTCTATTCAGCAATTCATTTTCTTCTCTAAAACTTTAATCCAACGTAGATAACTAACATGATTTATATATGAACTATGCCTTAGCAGTTCAGACTTCATATCGCTAGATAGAACTGCAAGATTTGAAGTCTGAACTGGATTTGGAGTTCTCTAATTAAGAAGATTATTTCGTTATAAATATCCATGAACTATTGTCTGAATTTTTTTTTCTTTTTAGAAAATTTTTAACTATAAAAATTTTCTAAATAAAGCTTTTGCTTGAAAAGGTCTTTTTTTGTGGGGGAAAATCAGTGGATTGTTGGTAGGAAATGTTTACATAATCAGTGTTTATTTGTCTTAACTTCTATTTTGTTAATTTTCTTATACCAGTGAAATGGATGAAAGGGACGTGGTCTCCATTTCACACGCGCGACCAGACACATGGCCATGGTTGTCAAAAAGCAAAAGAATCCCTGCGTTTTCATTTCTATATGATTGGACGGTATTAATTGCTTAAATTTCTCTGTCCAAAGTTCATTGGAAGAATATGTGTGGGTGAGATTTTTATGTAGAATTATTGCGTGCCACTCTACATAATTTATATAGACTAAGTGAAGATGCCAACTGAATAGAAAAAGCAAACTGTCAATTCTTCTGAGAAGTATAGATAAATTTTGTCTATATCTTGCTCTTACGTAATACTTTATTTCCGATTGCAATGTTACTCTCTCATTGGCTTAGTTTAGCTAATTTGTGTAAGTAACTGGAATTTTTTAGCCCAAGAACGTTTAAGAATGGGCGAAATTACATGTGAAGTATATTCATGGTGAAGGAATTTGGTTGTTTATTTAAAATTTCATCAACTAACTTCACTAGAAAATTAAATTAACGATAGAGGATTTACATATAAATCATTTTATTTTATCTTAAGTTAAAATTTAACCTTTTGTTGAAAGAATGAGAATAATTAACAATAAATTTTAGGCTATTAAACCATAACTCTTATGTCAAATCATGAATAGATTATTTTAAAAAATCAAGCTGTGAGGTGCAAATAATTTGACTTAATTATAATTTTTAAACCCTTTTATTTTAGTCTATGTATAATTTTATTCTCCATTAATTATTTACATTTTATCCTCATAATCTTTTATTTGTTAAAGTTACGTCATCTATCTCATATTTTGTTCAATAATTAATGAGAATCTAACAACAATGTGAATAAAATTTATTTTTATATATTGATTAAAAAAATTAAAATAACTATACCACTATTTAATTATTTTTTGTAATAATTATTATAAAAATTTTAAATGCAAATAATATATATATATATATATATAGTACGATGATAACATCAGCGGAAAAGATATATATATATATATATATAGTACGATGATAACATCAGCGGAAAAGCTACTTTGTCTCCATAGCCTTCCAAGTTCCACCCCCACCGTGTGTGTGCGTGTAGAGTGGCCCAAAAAGAAGGAGAAAAGTTTGTAGACATTTTTTTTTTTTTTTTGTATATTTAAAGAGAGAAAGAAGGAAAAGATTAAAAATAAAAGAATATCATAAATAATATGGTGTAAAAATAAATAATTAAATAAATATAAATATTATTAAGAAATTTATCAACCAAGACGAAAATAAAAAGAATTTATAATTGCATTTCTTTATAAAAGGAGGTTCCGACATACCTTTTCTAAAAGTGCGAAACACTATCAAAAGATTAGAGTAATTTTTTTTTTATCATAAAGAAAACATCTAAAGATATATTTTTTATATTTAAAATAGATAAAATAAATAAAACAACAATATATAATATTATATTTAATGTCAGTATTAAATAGTTCAAACAATGACATCTCTAAAAGATTTTTTCTTCAATTTAGCAAACTTTTCCTAATTATTAATATTTTTTGGTCAACTATTTTTCTTTATAATTTCCTATTTTCTCATTCATTGCTTTGAGGAGGACAACGGTATTATATGTCGACCTCCAATTGCAATTTGCCGTCACTCTGGCATAAAACAATCTTTATCCACCCCCTCGAATTCATCAGTTTCAAAACAACATTAAATACCTCCAAATCCATCCCAGCATTTCAGAAGAAAGCAAATCCAAAACAACAGAATCCCAAGATTCAATTGGCAACAACATGAAGCCACTGATTTTCACTTCCCTTCAAATTTTTTTCCTGCTCATACTGTGTGGCAGGAACACCATAGCTAAAAAGCAAACTAAAAATACATACATAATTCACATGGACAAGTCCACCATGCCATCGAGTTTCAACGACCACCTCAACTGGTATGACTCATCACTCAAATCAGTATCAAACACCGCAGAGATGCTCTACACCTACAAACACGTAGCTCATGGTTTCTCCACAAGACTAACTACGCAAGAAGCTGACACACTTGCAAAACAACCAGGGATTCTCTCTGTGATCCCTGAAGTTAGGTACCAACTTCACACAACTAGAACTCCAGAGTTCCTTGGGTTGGAAAAAGGCACCACCCTTTTACCTGAATCTGGGCAACAAAGCCAGGTTATCATTGGGGTGCTAGACACTGGTGTTTGGCCTGAGCTGAAAAGTTTGGATGACACAGGACTTGGTCCTATACCAAGTAGTTGGAAAGGTGAGTGTGAAACAGGCAACAACATGAACTCATCACACTGCAACAAAAAACTTGTGGGTGCAAGGTTTTTCTCCAAAGGCTATGAAGCAGCTCTTGGACCCATAGATGAAAAAACAGAATCAAAATCAGCAAGGGACGATGATGGGCATGGAAGCCACACGCTAACTACAGCAGCAGGTTCTGCTGTGGCTGATGCTAGCCTCTTTGGTTTGGCTTCTGGAACAGCAAGAGGAATGGCCACACAAGCACGCGTGGCAGTTTACAAAGTGTGTTGGTTAGGTGGGTGTTTCACCTCTGATATAGCTGCAGGAATCGACAAGGCAATAGAAGATGGTGTGGATGTTTTATCCATGTCAATTGGTGGAAGTTTAATGGAATATTACAGAGACATCATTGCAATTGGAAGCTTCACAGCCACATCCCATGGAATTCTAGTTTCCACTTCAGCAGGAAACGGTGGGCCCAGTCCAGGAAGCTTGTCCAACGTGGCACCATGGATAACCACAGTAGGAGCTGGAACTATAGACCGTGATTTCCCAGCGTCCATAACCATTGGAACCGGGAAGACATACACTGGTGCGTCACTCTACAGTGGAAAATCCTTGTCAGATTCAGCAATCCCAGTTGTTTATGCTGGTAACGTAAGTAACTCATCTGTCGGGTACCTTTGCATACCGGATTCCTTGATTACCTCGAAGGTTTATGGAAAAATTGTAATATGTGAGAGAGGTGGGAACCCAAGAGTGGAAAAGGGTCTTGTAGTTAAGCGTGCTGGTGGGGTTGGAATGATTTTAGCAAACAACGAAGAGTACGGAGAGGAGTTAGTTGCTGACCCTCATCTTCTCCCTGCAGCATCCTTAGGCCAAAAATCAAGCTTAGCTTTGAAAAACTACGCTTTCTCTTCTCCAAACCCCACCGCCAAAATTGAATTTTTGGGTACCCATTTAGAGGTTCAACCTTCCCCAGTTGTAGCAGCGTTCAGCTCAAGAGGACCAAACGCACTTACCCCAAAGATTCTCAAACCGGACCTAATCGCGCCAGGTGTCAACATTCTGGCGGGTTGGACTGGTGCAGTTGGACCAACCGGTTTAAACGTTGACAAAAGGCACGTGAGTTTCAACATAATTTCTGGTACCTCGATGTCTTGCCCGCACGTGAGTGGATTAGCTGCGATTCTCAAAGGGGCGCACCCTGAATGGAGCCCCGCAGCTATTAGATCCGCACTCATGACCACGGCTTACACCAGTTACAAAAACGGAGAAACCATCGAGGATGTTGCTACCGGACTACCCGGTACCCCGTTTGATTACGGCGCTGGACACGTGGACCCCGTGGCTGCCCTTGATCCTGGTCTTGTATACGACGCCAACGTTGACGACTATCTTGGATTCTTCTGCGCCTTGAACTACACGTCGTTTCAAATCAAGCTTGCCGCGAGGAGGGAATTTGTTTGCGATTCCAAGAGGAAGTATAGAGTGGAGGATTTTAATTATCCTTCTTTTGCTGTTGCTTTGGAAACAGCTTCGGGAATTGGGGGTGGTTCGGATGCTCCCACGACTGTGGAATACTCTAGGGTTTTGACTAATGTGGGTGCGCCAGGGACGTATAAAGTTTCAGTGTCGTCGAGGATTTCGTCCGTGAAGATTGTGGTTCAACCGCAAACGCTTAGTTTCACCCAGCTGTATGAGAAGAAGAGCTACACGGTGTCGTTTACGCACACTTCGATGCCGTCTGGGACGAATAGCTTTGCTCGTTTGGAATGGACTGATGGAAAGCACAAGGTTGCGAGCCCAATTGCGTTTAGCTGGACATGACATTGTGTCATTTATTGGGCTTGGTAATGCTATGGTTTTGGGCCCATCAAGGAGACCCTGGCCCCAGACTCATGGTTAAGATGTATGAGAGAGTTTGTTATTATGTATCCCCCTTTGCTGTTTCTTCTGGGCGTTAGGAGAACTCATAGTAAGAAATAATAATTGTACATTGTATTGTACATAAAGAAAAGGGTAATGGCACATCTGTATGATAATGACTTTGAATTGTTTGTCATATCTTCGTACCTTTGTTTACTAGATTGTGTGATTCACGTGAGTGGCGAAATTATTAAATAATTTATATGTTTAGAATTTAAGTATTTTTTTAAAGAAAGAATGTTAGATTTTATCTAGATTTCATAATTGAATTTGTTCAGCTATCTATCTAATTTTTTATTATAATATGTTAAAAATACGCAATTCTAAATTTATTTAAAGGCTTATATGGTCAGGGCCTCGTTTGACATAAAAACTTGTTTTTATTAGTTCTTTTAAACATATTATTTTATTTAAAATTCTTATTGCACAATTATCTTTAAATATGCTTTCAGATTAGATCAACAAATTATTAACGAATCAAGTGCATTTAAATCGCATAATACCGACACATTTTTTTTTATTTTTTTTAAAACTACCCTGCAGTATGGGTGGTCCCTTAAAAAAGTGGCTGGTAAATTTCTTATCCAAATATTTAGAATATCTTAACAAAGAAATAAATATAAATTTATTTGTCTTGACTCCTGAGAGTGTTTTCATGTTTGGTGCTGTTCTTATCGGCAGGGACCAGATTGATTATTACTACTTCAAATCCACGTAATAGAGACTCACTCAATCTTCTAGAAAAGCTTAAAAAAGGAAAGATGTGGAATTTGTTGGACTCTTGTGTGTCATCTTTAATTTGAAAGGCAACGCATGAGATGGTATACTTTTTAATGCAAAAATAAAACATCGTTTTTGAATCTTAAACGTCATTCAGTGTACTCCTCAATAGACAGACATGCTAATATTATACCTTTTATTAATTTGTTCTACTACTCCTATATCTTTATCAGGCAATATCATTGTGTAGAATACCTTTGATTTGCAATCGCAAAAGAATAAAGAAAATAGAGTTTAAGCTTTAATTTTCAACTCAAATTAATTTCAAAATTTTAAACTCAGTTTGATCAAGCTTGAGATAAATTAAGCCTGTAAAAATCCCTAAAAATTTAAACTTCACTGGAATGGAAAGACTGAAGTGAGTTAGATAGTTCAATTTGTCAACTTTACCAGAAAGTAATAAACAACATGAAAGATGGACTACCGAAGTTCCACTTTCATGGGCTTTGAGAACGTCTTGCCAAAATATTCCTATAGTCAAATGTTATCGAGTTGAGGCAGCATATCATGCCAAATTGCCTACAGCCAAAAAATATCTTAAATTTTATTCTGCCCCTACCTGTCCAAAACATGCTGTGAAAATGCTCTCAAGATGAAGCTACTTAACTAAAATCAGAATCCATATGTATCCAATAAAGAGAGAAAATCAGAGACCACAAGTTTAAGTGACCAAAACTTGACATTCTAACAGATTTTTATATTTGTTGTCACAAATTTTAGATAGAAGATTTATTTGGTCTTAAAAAATTTGAGTCATGCACTTGAGACAATTTTGATATGAATCTAACTGAACTCAAATGTATATATTATCACAGACACAGTAAGATATGCAACTTTTTTGTGTGTTTAATATGACTATTCATTCTTTGTTTTTTTTTTACCTCAAACTCCCCGTGCTTTTATTTTGAACGTGGAAAACATTAACCCATCATAGAACCAAACTTCAATATCTTAAATCCAAAATAAAATAACAAAATGACATACGATGTTAAATTTATGAACAGCCTTTCAACTTCATAAATAATATGACATGATCATATTAAAAGTAAGAAAGATATATCTTTCCACCAACATCACGGGAGGAACTAAATTCTTACGAATCATTAACAACCGAATTTGTATAAACATTCTATTATTCTTATTCTTATATAAGTAAAAACAGCCATGATTAAAATTAAAACAAATTATATGGTCATTTTCACCATCCGCTCAAAGGCGAACCTTCCACAAGTTGTACTGTAACAATTGGAAGTGCAAAATTATTGGCGGTACTTTATTGACCACAAACATTGGGAGCATTTCAGACATTACGCGTTGGGTTACGCTTCCCTGTTGACATGTGACCCTGGTTTCGTTGACTGCACTCACCAAAAACAATTTAGCAAAAAAAAAAAACAATAAACGAAGATGCCCAAGAAACCACCTTAGTCATATTTACGCTTCGCACCCGCTTCATCCTTGTCCAACTAACTAATCAGAACTGTTCTCACGGATCCTTCAACTTTTTTATTTTCTTTTCTGGTGTTTAATTGACGACCCACCTGCCAAGCGTAAACCATTTTTATTGATTGGTTTATGCAACAGAAATTTCCTCAGTTAGGGTTTTTATATATAATTTTTTTCTCAATTTCTTAATTCTTGTGATCATTATTCGAAATTTCAACCTACCCTTTGTAATTCATGGCTTCGAGTTTTGACCGGTGGGAAAAAGATCCATTTTTCAGGGCTGCCGAAGAAGTTCAGGAATCTGCAGATAGGTAGCCATTTACGTATTTATCACATGCTGCTTAGTTCGTCTTTTTTTTTTCTCAATTAGCTTTCTGACTTTTTGTAATTTATAATTTGTTTGATTTTGGCGATGAAATGTAAGGATAGAAGAACTTACTTTTCCTCCCCTCCCCCCCGGTCTTATATTGAATTCAAAGAACTGGGAAGCTTTAAATTTCTAAGTTCATTATGTGCACAATCTTATACTCTGCTATTGCTCAAGATTTCTTGTTATTGATTTGTTATCATTGTTTTTCTGAAGGATGGAATCTACATATAGGATATGGGTACACGCAACAAAAGATGCGTCCAGCATGTGGAACTCTGATGAACTGTGCCGAGATCTACATACTGCCTTTGGCACTGCTAAATGGCAGGTAATTCCTACTCCTAGTAAATATGCTAAATAATTCTTTCATTTGACTTATTTTATCATCAGAATGAGGATATGATTGCATCTTTGGTGGGAAATGCAGTTAGAGGAATTTGAACGGGCAGTGAGGTCAAGTTATAGCAAAAGCTCAAGCGAGGAAGCACGAAATAGGCACAGAAATTTTATCACTGCCATTGATGATAAGATAATGAAAGTTGAGCATTTGTTAAATGAATCAATGCCTCCGAACAGCAAAGCATCTCTGCCTTGGTTGCGTTTAGATGAAGGAGAACAGAATGAGCTTGCTTTGTTTCTTTCAGGAATGCCAGCAGCTACGACTACCAATAACTCTTGGTCTAACAGCAGGGACATTGAAAGTCCACAATTAAGTGATCAAGTTTCGGCCAGAAATTATTCAAAGAATTTTGATGTTTCATCTCGGTGGGGTGAATCAGAGGAGGAGATATCCCATGGGCATCGTAGGGTAGCTAGTGCCAGTGCTGATATCAGTTCTTGGAAAATTTCAGTTTCTGATGATGCACAGCAATGGAGTTCTTCCAGCGGTTCTTCTGGTCCGATGCATAAGGTAGCCAGTTTATCAGGATTTCTTAGTTCCATGGAATCTGTCTCTAAGTTGAAGTGGCCTGGGAATGGTTATAGAAAGCTGAAAGTAGAAGATCCTCGTAAAGGAACTGATAGTGCACTACTTTCAACAGCTCAATTGAATAGGGTGTGTTCTTAATCTGCTTTTGTTGTTTCTTGCATAATGGAGTCTTGCTTGAGTTTTTTTCAATCCACTTGTTGAATTACTAATGCTGTAATTATTTTTACTCTTTTGTTGAAAAAAAAGGGAAATGATGTATGCTACGATAGAAATAAGAGCAGCCTTGATAGCTGTGATAAATTCTATGACAAGCAACTCTATGGATGGTATGGTACTATTCAAAGGCAGCTTCAAAGATCTCAATACCAAATGCAATACCGTCAGCATGTCCGAATAATTGTTTGGATTGTTGTTCTCCTTTGCTTGATCGGTAAGCTGTTGCTATGATTGTATGTGTACTGTATTCCAACATACATGTATGTACTTGCATGTTATGCAATTTCTTATGAACAACTTACATCTTTAGAATGTAAGGAATCTTATCTTCTTATTATTATCTACTTCTCTTTTCTTTATCATAAAGCTCATGTTTATTGTTCTGTTTCTTTTTGTTTTTTCAGTCTTCTATATAAGTTATTCTTGTCGCTCTCTTCATACTTTATGTTTTTTTCCTGACTTTGTTCCTGTCGTAAATTTCATACATAGACATGAAGCTATTTTGAAAACTTTGTAATGCGCGAAGGACCTTCTTTTGTGAGGGGCTTTCTCATATCTTGTAAGAATCCACGGAATGTGAATATGAAGTGTGCAACCCTTTTTACTTTTGCCCCTTTCCAATAGGTTACCGATAAACTTTTTATAGTTGGCTGTTTTTACCCACTGTCACTGATGTATTTTTTAAACATCCTTAAACTTACATCTTGGTCTAAAACCCACCACCATGCATGCCAAAGGAGGACGGAGCTTTCTCCTGACAATCTTGCATCATCCTCGTTCTTATTATTATTATGGTTATGGTTAACACTTAACGCTATCCTGCAGCTTTAATTGCATTTCGCGCAATGTAGAAGGAAGACAGAGATACACGACTGTCCATTTGTAGCTGGAGGCAGCACAAGATACAAGCTTTTGATAACACACGTTTATATAGCCTGGATTGTCACTTGATCAGGGTTCAGAGAGATAGGTTAGATTTTCTGGTTCTCACTTAAGCTTACAGATTACTATTTAGAATCTACCATAGCACTTCCTCATTTTGTTCATTATTTTTATTCAATTTGTTTTTCCTTCCCATTTCAAAATTGTCCTTGAAAAGGTCTATGCTGTACTGGGATTGGCCTATTAGATGGTGTAATCTATATCATGCATGTCTTCCTAAAGCTGGAGCTGTGTTTTTCTACCAAAGCTGTTAGTGTAGCATGTGCAGATAGATCGGTAGTGCGAACTAGACGACAGTCCAGCACAAAATTTTACACACTCGCTTAAGTGAAAAATGTGTAAAATACATTGATGGAACCGTCTGGCAGATAATCCTAATCCATGTGCAGATTCAACGTGATACTTTCATAATTCTTCTTCTCCAAATGTTATAAACGGACTGTTTTAAAAGCAAAACCAAATTCACTCATGAAATAATCTCCCATCACGGGCTTTTTTGTTTAGAAGTTAAATCAATTCGTGCAGTTTTCAATGAAAAACAGATGTTCTAATGAAAATGTAGGATCGACCAAAATAAATAAATAAATATATACTGTTTAGATTAATTTATGCACTTGTTTTAGTAATATTAAATAATTTAAAATTAACTTTAAACCATACAACTCACTGTATCAGACATTGGAACAGCAGCGTTGTTACAAACAAAACACGCAACATAAACAAGGAAAATAACTTCTCCCCTCATGTTTTATTCATTAATAGAAAACCCCACCTCTCAATCAAACCCCTTAAGGCACAATCTTGTATTCTTTGGCCTTATCTATCCAATTCACAAACGAATCCTTGGAGTTTCTAAATCCGAAAAAGCTATGCTCTTTGGCCTTGTTCATGCTATCTAACACGGCCTCCATTCCCAACATAACATCCGCAAACCACCAATCCCCAACCTCTTCAAGCTTAGTTTGCTGCAACCCATTCTCCCTCACTATCTCTTCCCACACGGGACCCTTATCCTTCATCATCTCCGACAACCTCAACTTAGAACCTTCTAGAAACCCATATTCCTCAATCCCGAACCGTTCAGCCAACACCTTCCACAAATGCTTCCACTTGTAAACATCCCCATTGCTGCAGTTAAAGACATTGTTCTTGGCATGAGGCTCCACCGTACCCCAAATGTGCTGCTCCGCAATCAAATCAGCATCGGAAGCAGCGGAATAGCACTCCCACGCTTCTTTGATACCTGGAAACCACAAGGGAACACCCTCATGCTTGCAAATAGCAGCATAAACACAGAGAGTCCCAACAAGGTTCATCAAACTGTAAGGAGAAAAACCAAAGATAACATGTGGTCGGTTAATGAACCACGTCAACCCCTCCTTCTTTTGAACCTCTTCGAACAATATATCTTCCTGGGTATAATAGAAATTCGGTGCCTCCAAACGTGGTAAGTCCTCTGTGAACGGTGGGTCATGGAAATCGATCTTCCCGAACAGTTCGAATGGTCCTACGTAGTGCTTGGTACCTGTCTGGAGTGACACGTGGCGGAGATTGGGAGCGTTTGGGATGACCGCGCGTAGGACATTTCTGAACATGGCACCGTTGACCTCGCAGTTTTGGGCCTCCGTGGGTCTGCTTGTCCACGAAACGTAGAAGATGTGAGTGACGTCGGTTAAACATGAGAGCTTCGATTCGGCGTCGTTTTGAGCGGAGATATCGCACTGGATGTAGTGAACGGAATGACCGGCGTTCCAGGTTGGTCGGGGACGGCGAGCGACTCCGTAAACCTTCCATGGACCACCGGGTGTGTCGGTGAGAGGTAGAATCTCCGCAAGGCTATTGCCTACTATGCCCGTCACGCCTATAACGAGTGCCACGCTTTGTGGTGCTTGGGTTAGGTTAGAGTTCTGCATGTGAACAAGAGAAAATCAAAACAGTTAAAGGAGTAAAAGGAAAGTTATAAAACAAAATAGAACGGAAAAATGAACTGTGAACATGCTTTGACAATGCTATCGGTTGCTCCAGCCCACCACCTTTTCATTTTTTCTGTGATTTGGTTTGATTTTGCAAAGCAACAAGAGCGGATACCCCAATGAATTCATTATGTTTCTTCATTTATAAACAATCTTGCTTTGAATAGTTTTCAGATGAACATGAACACTAATATTATTTTATTGACGTCGCTGTGGAAATATTTGATCCCTGTATCCTATTTTGTATTTAGTGCAGAACCTGTTCCCATTGTTTTTAAAGAATGTTTTTTTTATTTGTCACGTGAACAGTATTGCTTTTAATGCCAGTCACATGATTTGCGTAAATTAATGATTGAATTACTTTCCAAGTCCAACGTTGTTTGAAAAATTGTAAATAGATTAGTATATTTTAAGTTTGTAATTGAAATCTTTAAATTTTTAAAATATTTTTATTTTAATTAGGTCATTATATTTCTATTAAAATATTTTTCACTGATTTGGATTAATTTTCCGAAGGAATAATTTATGTTGGTCGATAGAAAATGACTGACATTTTTTAGGTTTTTTTTTTCCTATCAACTGCCGAAATCTTTGAGTTTGAATACTTTTCACCGATTCCTAATTCCTAGATTCACTTACATGGACATTTAGGCTATGTGCGGTAGCTTTTAAAAAAAAATAATTTATTCTAAAGTTATTATCTCCAAATTAATTATTATTATATTTTTAACTTTTATTTTATACAATTAAAATTTTATGTGTATATGTTAATTTTATTTTTCATATTTACAATAGTCACATTTTTTAATATTTTTTTTATCTGTTCTCTTAATTCTTCTATCTAAAATTATTTTATATTAAAAAATATATAACTTAAATATTTCATATTCAAACATAAATAAAAAATAATTTTATATGATTAATTAACTGATAATAAATAAATAAAATAAATAAAATATAATTATAATATTATGTTAATATAATATTATATTTTTAAAATCATTTAATATAAATCAGTAAGTTACACGATTAGTTTCTTAAATAATTTTAATTTTACAAATTATTTATATAATTATATACTATTAATTATAAGTTTATAATTTGCAGTTTTGAACTCGTTTTAACAAATATAAAGGAATGAAAAGAAATAAAAAAATAAAGAAAATAAAAAAATTAAATAAATTAAAATATAGGAGTAAAAATAAATAATTAAATTAAAAATAAATTATTTAAAATTTTTAAGTTTAAATATAATATTTTATATAAGTTATTTAAAATTTTTATATTTTTTTTACATATGACCTTCCTTTCCTTTCTTCTCACTTCTTTCCATTTTGAAGGAAACTTGTTTTTCTCTCTTCATTCAAGCTAAAAACCTACTTCCATTTTCTTTCACTCCCTTCCCTTTTTTGTTTCCTTTCCTCAATGCAAACACTCTAAAGTTACATTTGGACAAAAGATGAAATAAAGAACAAAAAAAGATATAGAAAGATAAAAATAATAATAATAATAAGGAGATTGACCCATCATGTCAAGCTGACACTATTATTTTACATTTTTAAAAATTACTCTCATCTCTTTGCATTATATATGTTAACTTGTTAAAAAAAAAATTTGTTCTCCTTTTAAAGGATTCACACTCTTGTATCTTCTTCCTTTATTGACAAATCTCTGCTGCAAATATTTCATGGATTTGGCTAGAACCATCCAGTTTTGTTTTCGATTAAGGTAATCCTGCAGGGAAGTGGATCTGAATCCACACATTTCATCCATGTTACACTTTTTTTGGGCATTGTTACATGGAGTGCATGTCTAAGCTGTTATGCAAAATTACATATCATTTCTATTTTTATTTATATATCTTGACTGAAAGAAAAATATATTTTTATTTATTTAAATAATTTTTTATTAATTTCTACTCTTAAAATTTAATTTTAATATTTAAAAATAAAAGAAATTACATTCATTATATTAAAATTATAAAAGTGTAATAAATGTTTTTTAATAAAATTTTATTAGTAGTAGTATTTAAAATCATTTATTTAATATTTTTTAATTTTCTTTTAGTTATATAAATATTCATATTATTTAAATAATATATATGTTAAAAAAATTCATTAAAAACGATAAAATAAAAAATGTAATGATTAATTTTTAATAAAGTAATTAAATTTTGACTTAATTATTATTTTTTTTTGTCCCTAGGAGCACCCTTTAAAATTAGTCTTTAAAAAAAATACTAAGATTTTGTTTATAATATTTTTAAATATTTGAAACTAATTTTACCATTAATTGTTTTCTATTAAGTAATGAGATAAGATGTATAATCAAGAAGTGCATAACTCTACGTCAAAGAAAAAGAGAAAATAAGATGAATGACATTTTTGTAAATATTATCTTTTATATAATAAAATATTAAAAATACTAATAACGTATAATGATAAACTGAACTTAAATTCGGTTATCCAATTCATCACTTAACAGGTTATAATTGATAATAAAAACTAAATCATTACATTTTAATAACTTATTTTTAAGGGTGTTACTTCTGTAGAGACAGAAATATAATTAAGCATTAATTTTTTAATGCGCATAATATTTTTCTTAATAAAACTAAACTCTCATTTTAATTCTTAAAATAGTAAATATGAAGAATTTTAGTATTTGAAATCTTAAAAATATCATGTTAATTTTTAACTTTTGTCTTCTCACGTTACACATTGTTAACACACCATGAGAATGCTAATATGTTACGTTAAGGAATAAATATGATTAATGGTATAGCAAAAATAATATCATATAAGATTTAGTATTTTTTTAAGATTTATTCCTTAATTTTAAAAAAAATTCACCTACTTATCATTCTTCTTTATCCTTCTAACACTACTTTGTCAAAAATAAATATTATCTATTACCATATAAAGTTCTTTTATATCCACAGTCTTTAAAACAATGTTATTTATACTGATTAAACTTTTAATATAACACTTAAAATAATATATTAGTTTTTTATTACTATTTGTTAATAGACTTTGCGTTTTGATACTAAAATAAATGACAAATAAAAGTTAAAACTAATGTGACATTTTTAATTTTTTAAAGATTAAAATATGAATACAATCTCTTTGTGAAAATAAAATAAAAATATCAGTCCATAAAATTTACAACGAATATTACACATATTATTATTCACATCTTCTCGCCGTTTACTCTCTTGTTTCCTACGTCTTAATCTTAACCTGTCTCATCTTTATTCAGTCCAATTGAAGTGAAAACCTAGAATATATCTACATAGTCGTGGATTAGTGATGGTTTGAACTCCTTATAAGGGATGTGTAACATTACATGTACAAAATCTTCTGAGTAAGCTTCAACCTGTGGGAGTAAAATGGGAATAGAAATATAGACCATACTTATGGCAACAAATTCTCTTGTATATTACATATTGTGAAGTTCACCAGCCAAATACTTCACACATGGAAACAACAGTATTATTACAAACACAACATGAAACATAAACATGGATACAGAAAGTAACTGATCTATCATGACTTATTCGATAACAGAACAGGAAAAAAAAAAAACTTTTTTAAGTATAAGAAGGTCACGGAACAATCTTTGAAGCTTTTGTCTTATCTATCCAACTCACAAACGAATTCTTGGAGTTCCTAAATCCAAAAAACCCATGTTCTTTCGCTTTATTCATGCTATCCAACACACCCTCCCCTCCCAACGCAAAATCCGCAAACCACCACTCCGCAACCTCTTCAAGCTTTGTTTGCTGCAACCCATTTTCCCTCACAATCCCTTCCCACACGTGACCCTTATCCTTCATCATCTCAGACAACCTCAGATGAGAACCTTCTTGAAACCCATATTCCTTAATCCCGAACCGTTCCGCCAACACCTTCCACAAATGCTTCCACTTATAAACATCACCATTGCTGCAGTTAAAGGCCTCGTTCCTTGCATGAGGCTCCACCGTACCCCAAATGTGTTGCTCCGCAATCAAATCAGCATCGGAAGCAGTGGAATAACTCTCCCACGCTTCTTTGGTACCAGGAAACCACAAGGGAACACCCTCATGCTTGCAAATAGCAGCGTAAACACATAGAGTCCTAATGAGGTTCATCATACTGTAAGGAGAGAAACCAAAGATAACTTGTGGTCGATTAACGAACCATGTCACCCCATCCTTCTTGGCGACCTCTTCGAACAAGATATCTTCTTGAGTGTAATAGAAATTGGGTACCCCTAATCGTGGCAAATCCTCTGTGAAAGGTGGGTCATGGGGTTTGACTTTACCTATGAACTCGAAGGGTCCTAGGTAATGATTGCCACCTGTCTGGAGAGACACGTGGCGTAGATTGGGAGCGTCTGGGATGACAGCGCGTAGGACGTTCCTTAACATGGCACCGTTGATCGCGGAGTTTTGGGCCTCCGTGAGCCTACTGGTCCACGAAACATAGAAGATGTTAGTGACATCGGTTAAACAGGAGAGCTTGGATTCGGCGTCGTTTTGATTGGAGATATCGCATTGGATGTAGTGGACAGGGTGATCGGAGTTCCAGCTTGGTCGGGTACGGCGAGCCACACCGTAAACCTTCCATGGATCCCCAGGTGTGTCGTGGAGAGGTAGAATTTCAGCTAAGCTGTTCCCTACGATGCCCGTCACGCCTATAATCAGTGCCACGCTTTGGAAGCTTTGTGGTGCTTTGTCCTGTTTCGTGGTCTGCTTTGGCATAAGAGAAAAAAGATCAGAATATAGAACAAATTAATATATGGGAAAAAGGAGTGTTATGCGATCTTGCCTTTGCGGTGCCAGTTGCTCTAGCCAACCACCAACTCATTTTTCTGAGCTTTAGAGGATCAGAATACAGTTTGATTTAGGAAGTAGCAATCAAAATAAATGCAAGTGATCTATGTTGTACTACGATGTTTGTTTCTTCGGATTCCACATTCATTCATATCATCATATTCTATATATATATATACACGTGTTGCAAGAGAAGCTAACTGCTGCCATTTTCTTTCTTCCATTGTTGTTCAATTTATTTATTTATTTTTTTCTTTTTCTTTTTTTAATCTCTCTACTTTCATAATTAAAATAAGATGTGAAACAATCAGTTCACATTTTTTAAATACAATTCTGATTTTCGTACATACTTTCATCTTTCTCTATTTAATTTTATGTTTTTATCACATTATACTATCTATTATTACCCACACACATATTAATTTTCTCACTTATCATTTTATTTTTCATAAATATATTAAATCACGGCTATATATATCAATGGTAATTATATTTTTATACTAACATTTTCTTATCTTTTTTATCACATTATTATTATATGTCTTGCATGTTCGTTTTTTTTATTTCTCTTTCTTTTTCACCTACTTTACATTCATTTATTTAATGAGAAATATAAGAATCCATGGATCAATAATTTTTCTTTTAAATAATCTTCGCCGCCGAATGACTTGAGCCATGACGTGTACTGCACTAGTTTATCAACTTTTAATTGCAAATATTTTATAAATGTATATCATTTTGTAATAAATTTTAGAAATTATCTAATCTTATTCTTATAAATTTATTATTACTCTTATTAAAAAAAAAAACGTTTATGATAATTTTTACTATTAATGTAATAAAAAATTTGAAAAAAAAAAACTTAAATAAGTGTAATAATAACCGCTTAATAGTAATGATAAATAAACCCTATCTCTGTATACAAATGTTTAATGTACACCATGAGATAAAAAGAGAAAAAAATAAAGAATAGAATAATGATAATCTTACATTCTTATAGGATGTGAAATGCATGTAAGGAAGAGGGAAATAAGAAGTAAGAAAATTAAATATAAAATAATAACATAATAAATAATATGATAAAAAAAAGAGAAAAAAATTTAAGAAAAAAAAGGATAAGAATATTATTAATTAAAAAAATAATAAATAATGCAATGTGATAATAAAAAAAAGAAAGATAAAATTACAATACAAATTGACACAAATATAAGAATTAAAGTTACTACTCATGTAAATACACAACTGAATATCAGTAATTTTTAAAAATATGAGTATAAAAATTAGTATAGTACTTTATCTATTGGCATTCTTCTATTAAGATATCTCACATTAGTTAAAATTAAAGGTAAAATACTCTTGATAATAATTAGACTAATTTTTCTCTTATGAGTTAATTTTAAAAAAAATTAATAAGTTAAGTCCAAATTTCATAACAAAATTAAACAAGTGCAGTACATTTTGCATGTGTAATTTGTTCCCCTCCACTGTATAGCAAACAAGTTGTTTAACACCCTATGCAGTATTAAGGAACCTTCTGATGTTTCAAATAGTTAGGCTTAAGCCTATTCCTTATCATGGGCCTACAACATCTTGGGCTCTTAATTCTCGAATACCTTTATCACATCACTGTATTTAGTTTCATTCCTTCAATTATTGAATGATACAATTTGGTTAATATTAAAAATACAAAGAGAATACCCTTGTCTACACCACGGGTGTGTATTATTGTTTCCTACATGATTTTAAGAGGGTATGCATAGATGGTTATACATAAGTTAGGTTAAAATATTTAGGTTTTATAGTATATATATATATATATATATATATATAATCATATTTTATTTTATATTGATTTGAAACTCTTAAAAAAATATTATCTATTAAATTATTGTAGATCATGTCTATATATTTTTTTTTAATTTTTTTCCAACTTTAAATGGCAAGAACCAAAGCGTGGTGTTTGAATGTGTTCAAAATAAAATATAAAAAATAAATTTTGTAAATAAAATATTTTAAAATCAAATAATCCTTGTAACTGTCACTATTCTTATTGTTCTATATATATATATATATAATTAGGTACAAATTTTCAATATGTGAAATTTTTACTGGGATTTTATTTTTAATATGGTTATTTGAATTTATTTTAACTTGCAACATGATTTTCATTATTGGTAATAAATATTTAAGAATTTACAAGAATCATGGGACATCTACAATTGATTCATATGATAAGAGTAAATTATTATAATGCCCAATTGTAATAACTAATCAATTGTTATATTTGCTCTGTAATTAATTCATTATTGTTGATTTTGTTTAATACTAATTCAACTATTAAATATATTTTATATAATTATAAAAAATTAAAAATAATTTTTATTAAGTTTCACGTAAGTAAAATAAAATTTAAATAAGATTTTAAATTTTAGATCTATAAGAGGTTAGGATTTTAATTTTTAGTTTTTAATTTTTAATTTTAAAATATGTAGATATTTAGGTTAATGAAGAAAAAAGAGAGAGTAATGGATAGATTTTAAGGGAGGTGGATGAAATTTTTAAAGAAAGTGTGAGGGGTGACTATCGAAAAATTAGTAATTATGGGAAAATGAAACCTTTTTTTTTTTTAAATAAAAAAAATATTAAATAGGATCTAGGGTTAGGAGGAGGTGTGACTATAAATAGGAAGCTTAAATCTTTAGAAAGGGGACTTTTACACTTTATCTTTTATGGGAAACCAATAGAGAGAATCAAACTCTCTTGAAGAACACGGGAAATAAAGAGAGAAGAGAGAGGGATAATTGAAAGAATTCGGGAGAAAAAAAAAAGGAACGAGAATTCAAGGAAGCACAACGAGACAAAGAGGAGACGAGAGGATTACAAATAATCAACATTCAAAAAGAGTCAACATTCTGAGAGCACTCAAAAGCACATCCTGAGATCAACAAAGAGAATAAAGCTAGAGGGTTGAAAAGGATATCTCAACGTGAATCCTAAACTGTCACAAGTAGACCCCTTTTTTTCTTCTTCTTCTTTCTTTTTTCTTTTTTTGGTTGTCGTTTTTGTGTGCTACTCTCTTATCCCCATTTATTTATAAAGATTTAATAATTTTTTAACTCAAAAATTGTTCTGTCTTACAAATAAAACCTTTCTAACTCCCAACATCCTCTTTTTCACAAATCTAAAGGAAAACTTAACTTTAACATTAAAATGTCCTTTTGCAAACCCTAAAACATTTTCTAATCTTAAACAAATCTTTTTTTTTTGTAAACCTTAAAACATTTTCTACCAAAAAATGTCCTTTTTGTAAACCCTAAAACATTTTTTTTTCTAACCTTAAAATATTTTTTTTACAAATCCTAAAACATTTTCTATCCAAAAGGGTCTTTTTGCAAACCCTAAAAATAATTTTTAAAACCTCAAGTATTTTTATAGACCCTAAAAAGTAATTTTTTGTCAACTAAAAATTTTGCAAATTATAAAAATCTAAATTTTCCAAACACTAATTTTTTTTTCATAAATCTTAAAAATTCTAATTTCTTTACAAATTCCAAAAAAACCTAATTCTTAAATCAAATAAGAATTATTTTCTTGTTATTTTTGTTCACTCTTGTGTTTGTTTTTTTTTTTTTTTTTTATATATTGCTCGTTTATTTCCTTATTGTATACAAAAAAAATTTAATTTTAATAGGACATTTTGATTATCTAAAAAAAGGTATTTTGAATCCAGACAAAGGCCATCTAATTTTGATAGAGTGGTAGATCCACCTTCAACATTGCTTGGATCGTATAGGCTTATTGAGTAGTCTTGTACTAACTTAAACCCTGTGCAAGAGTAGATCTACAAAAAATAATAATAAAGTAAAAATCAAATTTAAAAAAAAAACTTTGAAACTCATCCAAACTTAATTTTCAAAAGAACTACGTAGCAGCTTTTATTCTTTCATTGCATATGGGAGATACGTAGGAGCGGTAACTTGACTCGTCAAGTTCAAAAATTTCCTTGTACTAATTTGAATTACTCTCAATTTAAAAGTTTCTTAAAATAATATAAACTTGAAAAAAAAAAATTTAGACTAACGGGTTAGGTTCTCGTTCCTACGTATCTCCCGTATGCAACGAAAGAGTCAAAGCTGTCACATAATTTGTTTGAAAATTAAGTTTGGATGAGTTTCAAAAATTAAAAAAAAAAAACTTGATTTTTGCTTTATTATTATTTTTTGTAAATTCACTCTTGCACATGGTTCAAGTTAATATAAGATTACTCATAAATCCTTACGATTTGAGTAATGTTGAAGGTAAATCCACCACTCTATCAAAATTACTTGGCTGTTGCGTGAATCTAAAAGACCCTTTTCTAGATAACCAAAATGTCCTATTAAAATTGGATTTCTTTTGTATACAATAAGGAAATAAACGAGAAATATATAGAACAATAAAAAAACAAACACAAGAGTGAACAAAAATAACAAGAAAATAATTCTTATTTGATTTAGGAATTAGTTTTTTTTGAAATTCGCAAAGAAATTAGAATTTTTAAGATTTATGAAAAAAAGAATTTTTAGGATTTGAAAAATTTAGATCTTTATAATTTACAAAATTGTTGGAGTTGAAAAGAAAATTACTTTTTAGGGTTTGTATAAAGATACTTTTGGGTAGAAAATGTTTTAGTATTTGCAAAAAAGATATTTTAAGGTTAAAAAAAAATATTTTAGGGTTTGCAAAAAAAGACATTTTTTGGGTAGAAAATATTTTAGGATTTACCAAAAAAAGATTTGTTGAAGGTTAGAAAATGTTTTAGGATTTGCAAAAAAAATATTTTAAGAGAAAAATAATGTTTTAGGGTTTGCAAAAGGACATTTTAGTGTTAAAGTTAAGTTTTCCTTTAGATTTGTAAAAAAAAAAAAGGATGTTGAAGGTTAGAAAGGTTTGATTTGTAAAACAGGACAATTTTTGGATCAAAAAAATATTAAATCCTATATGAATAAATGGAGAATAAGAAGGGAAACACACAATAATGACAACCAAAAAAAGAAAAAAGAAAGAAAAAGAAAAGAAAAAAAAGAAAAAATAAGCTTACTTGTAACAGTTTAGAATTCACATTATATGTATGTTGACTCTTTTGCAATATTGATTATTTGTAATCCTCTCCTTTAAACTTTTGTTCTTTTTTTTTTTTTTTTTTGTCTCTCCAATTCTTTCAATTCTCCCTCTTATACAAATTAAAAATGACACCTTGATTATTCTTCTCTTCACTTCAAAAGCAAAACAATAGCACCAATTATTGTTATCACATACATACAAAGCAACCATATAAACGATATGGCACACGCATTACTACACAATGAACACTAAACACAAACATGGATACATGGAAAATGAACTCCTTCCCTCGTGTTTTATTCATTAATATATAGAAACCCCCAAACAATATGCCACACGCATTACTACAAAATGAACACTAAACACAGACATGGATACATGGAAAATGAACTTCTCCCCTCGTGTTTTATTCATTAATATATAGAAACTCCCCGCGTAACAATCAAAACCCTCAGGGCACAATCTTGTATTCTTTGGTCTTATCTATCCAATTCACAAACGAAGTCTTGGAGTTCCTAAATCCCAAAAAGCCATGCTCTTTGGCCTTGTTCATGCTATCCAACACCGCCTCCATTCCCAGCCAAACATCCGAAAACCACCAGTCCCCAACCTCTTCAAGCCTTGTTTTCTGCAACCCATTTTCCCTCACAATCTCTTCCCACACGTACCCCTTATCCTTCATCATATCCGACAACCTTAAATTCGAACCATCTAGAAACCCATATTCCTCAATCCCAAACCGTTCCGCCAACACCTTCCACAAATGCTTCCACTTGTAAACATCACCATTGTTGCAGTTAAAAGCCCCGTTCTTGGAATGAGACTCCACCGTACCCCAAATGTGTTGCTCCGCAATCAAATCAGCATCGGAAGCAATGGAATAACACTCCCACGCTTCTTTGGAACCGGGAAACCACAAGGGAACACCCTCATGCTTGCAAATAGCGGCGTAAACACAAAGCGTCCCAATGAGATTCATCAAACTGTAAGGAGAGAAACCAAAGATAACTTGTGGTCGATTAACGAACCACGTCAACCCCTCCTTCTTACGAACCTCTTCCAACAATATATCTTCTTGAGTGTAATAGAAATTGGGTGCATCTAATCGTGGCAAATCCTCTGTGAAGGGTGGATCATGGGCCTTGATCTTACCCAAAAGCTCGAATGGTCCTACGTAGTGCTTGGTACCTGTCTGAAGGGACACGTGGCAGAGATTGGGAGCGTTTGGAATGATGGCACGTAGAACGTTCCTTAACATGGCACCGTTGATAGCGCAGTTTTGGGCCTCCGTGGGCCTGCTGGTCCACGAAACGTAGAAGATGTGGGTGACGTCGGTTAAGCCCGAGAGTTTCGATTCAGCGTCGTTTTGATTCGAGATGTCGCACTGGATATAGTGGACGGGGTTATCCGCGTCCCAACTTGGTCTTGCACGGCGAGCCACACCGTAAACCTTCCATGGACCGCCAGGTGTGTCGTGGAGAGGTAGAATTTCAGCTAGGCTATTGCCAACGATGCCCGTCACGCCTATAATTAGTGCCACGCTCTGGAAGCTTCGAGATTCTTCTGCTTCGTCCAGTTTCAGGGTCTGAACGGGCACAAGAAAAATGTGAAAATCAGAAGGAAAAGGAAAGTTAACGAATTAGAATAAGAGGGAAAATGGAGAGTGTGGCATGAAGTTACCTTGCCTGTGCCAGTTGCTCTCGCCCACCACCAACTCATTTTTCTGAGTTATAGAATGACAGAATAATACTATATGCTTTGATTTTGCTGGTAGCATTTATAAGCAACGCCCAGTCTTTATATATTCCATTGGTTTGATTTGCACTATGATGTTTGCTTCTTTAAATGTACAATACACTGACGTGCTTTGACTGGTTTTCTCCGGTGACGAGAGCCATGACATACACAGGTACTATTATCACCCTTCTCATCTTTACAAACAAAGTTTGTATAAATATTTTTTTTCAAAGTTTGTATAAATATTTTTTTTCTTAATTTTGAGATTATTTATATAATCAAATAATTTAGATAAAATTGTATGAAATAAAATTTTAAATTGGTAGCATTTTACCTTACAAATATCATTTAAATTTTCAAGAATTAAAATGCTACACCCTAGCAATGTGAAGAACTAATTTAGAGTTTTGTTAAATTTTATAAATGTTTTTTCATCTGGGTAGTGCTGTGCGGGTCCCAGTTGTTTGACTTTGAAAAGAAATGTTTTTGCCTTTATTTTCTCGTCTTCTGAACATCCGATTCTTTTAAAAAAGTTATAAAAACTATTATTAAAGTTCGAACTTGATGTCTGGAGTATTTTTCAACGGATGTTGCATGGCCGAAAGATATCATTGGGTGATTCTAAGTTACTCACAAAAAAAAAAAAAGAGAATTGCAAAAAAAAAAGAAGCTGTTATATAAGTAAATTTTAAAACAATTAATACCGTTAATTAAATTGTGTGATAAATCAATAGCTAAAATTAAAATAAAAAAATAAAAAATTAGTTGAGTAATCTGAATTTATTATTAATCATGAAAGGTAACAAAGTAAATAAGTTTTATATATGAACGGTTGACGAATGACTATATAAATTTTTTGTTTTTTAAGTTAAAGGTTACTTCTAAGCATGACAATGTTAATATTGATTATGCCATCTTAAAAAGTTAACGACTGACTTTATTTATCTTTTCATATTAATTGTGTATTGTTGGAGAAGATAAAATGTCGTTCAGAGAGGAAAATTGAAAAAGGAATGATAGAAATAATGTTGATAAAGTCGTAGTCTATATTTTTGTATGAGACTGTAACCCACCAATTATTTTTGTGCTGATTGTGATCATAAATGATTTCAATGAAGCAACATAAAACAAATGATACAAAATACAAAATAATGTGTTATATTGTTAATTGTACATCATTTTTTATTCAATACCGTAGTTGAAAGTCTTGACATATTTATCAAACACAGTTTATACATCAGTGGTGAGATACAATATATAGAAAGAAGTAAAGATTAACATTTAATATTATAAGTCAATTTTGAGATACACGATGTAGAAGTTAAAAATTGAAGATAATAAAAAATGTCAATGCTACTACTATATTTAATCTAATTGTTTAAATATTTTATAAAAATAAAGGCTAAGAAATATCTATGTTCACTGTATTGTCATATTTAAGTTAAATGAATTGTTAATATCATGAAAGTCATTATGGTAATATCATTACATAATACATTAATAATTTATTATGTATTGTTTTTGTAGTTTTATCATACTATTCCATACTTGTAATAATAATTAGGGGTTTATTCAACATAATTTTAATGAAGTGAATTAAAATTTAAATGTTACATACTCTGCAAGTATTAATAAGTATATCATACAATAATTTAATAACTTACATGGACTATATTATTGTCAATTTGTATGTAATGAAATTAAGTATATTTGACATCATTTTCATTTCTTATTTGTACAGGGCAAGTTAAAGTATAATTGTCATGTAATAAAAAATGTAATTAGACACTTTAAACAGAGTAATTGTATCATGAAATATAATTTATTATTTATTATCCACATTTTATCTTGTTATATATGTTTACTTTTTTATTTCTTAACTTATAAATGTTTACTTTCTATAATGAACAATTTTCAAATCACATCGATTCAATAGGTTGTTTAAATTTTTATTAAATAAATTTAATTTTGAATAAAATTATAATTTTTAAATTTTTTATAATTAACATCATAATTTTTAAAAGATGATTAATTTTTTCCTATTTCATTCATTTCATAATTATATAAACAAAAATATTCTAATAGACTAAAAAACCTTTCAAAATAGGGAAATTCCTAAACAACAATTATATCTCTCTAAATCCTTCCTTTCCTTCCTTCCTAAATAAATGTATAATGCATTACAAATATAAATATCATACCATGCATTGTTAAATTAAAGTTAATTAATGATGATATATAAAATTATCTGACGTTGGCTAATGATACAAAATTCATTTTATGTCAAATTAATGCAAAATTATGATCCCTTATGAGATTGAGACTATGTATAAGAACTAAATAACATATTTAAAAGTGTAATATTTCTTTTGTTATTCAAAAATTTTATCTTTTAAAAAAATATTCAATCAAACTTATTTTATTAATTGAACATATTACACATTATATATTATTAGAGTAGAGGTCACAAATTACCACACAGCTACAAAATTTTAATTAATGTTAAAAATTGAATATAATATGTGTAATTATTTACAAGTATATTAAAATTTGTTTTTCATATTGGGGGCTGAAAAATGAGTTAGTATAGTCGCTTCACTTACAGCGATGGCTCACCTTTGATATATAATTATTTATTGTTTAATAATAGTAATAATCATATATTATATTATGCCAAACATCATGATGGTGCTAAATAATTACATCATTGTGTCCTTCAACTAATGTTAATACGCAGACGTTATTTAAAATTAGAAGGGGTATTTATCTGCATTGGTTAGTTAGCTATCAACCGATGTCCAAGTACATGCGATATTGAAAAAATTACATTAGCCCTTTTTGTGCATCAATGTGGAACTGAAAAGTGAATTAACGCTATTAAAATTTTACATTGCCTCTTTTCATGCACGTGGAACTGAATTGTCATGTTAATGCAATGAAAATTTCACATTGCCTCTTTTCGTGCACCGATGTGGTACTGAGTGCTCATATTAATGCAGTGAAATTTTTACACGGCCTCCTTTCGTGCACCGATGTGGTACTCAATCCTCATATTAATGCAGTTAAATTTTTACATTATCTCATTTCGTGAACCGACGTGGAAATGAATCCTTAAATTCATGCATTTGTTTATGAAAGATGTCAATGTACACATACCGTTCTTGCTTTGAAAACCACTAATGGCTGCGAGTTCACATAGGAAAGGCTGGCTCTGACAAAACTTTCACATACAACAATTCGAGGTAACCAAAATTGTATACCCAAATCATAACTAAAATCATATCGTATTATAAAGTTTGTAAAAAGAACAATTTTGCAGATTTAAAAATTGAAATACTTTATGGTGCATAGCTGCATAGTGGCCGGTGAAATATACAATACTCACAGAACAAATGGATACAAAACAACAAAAGGTAGAACTCAACACAACACGAAATACGAACGTTTATATTAAATTACCAAATTCTCCTTTAATAATATAACTTGTATGACCGTTTACCTCTCTTCTATTTTGGATCATTAAATTTTCATCAATGGTTCACAATGATATAACACTTCTCAAAGACATATATCTCTTATTTTTTGCAACCAATGGAGGACCTTAGAATCACCCGTATCATTAGCCTGAAAGAAGCATCGCTTATTAGGAGCTTGCTTTGATACCAGTCTCTCCCTTTCCTTTTCGTTCTTCTATTATATCCCCTGTCATACACGTGGCCAGTTATGAATGATGATTCTATTTGTGGAAAGAAATTGAAATACAGCAAGCTAGCCTGTAACAACGTAGATTAAAAAGAAAATTTTGTTCCTATGATGTGAAGTTCTATATTTTTCTCTATCAAACCTATAAAAGAAAGATTTTATTTTTATTAACACAAATAATCATTAAAATTTTGGTGAAATATTCAGTGTGAATCAATTATTTTCATGCTCTTTTTTGTTCCACCGGCCCTAAGTATACAATTTATGCGCATATATAAAAAGAAAGAAATGAAGAAAATTTGTGGAAAAAATTAATTGTTTTCTTTAATATTGTTTACATGTATTAGTCAAGAATTGTTTTCATGAATATATTCAGATAAGCAAAAAAAAAGAAAAAAAGTACTCTATATAACGAAATTTTTGCAAATGCATCTAGTATGGATGATTATGTAGGTATAAATAGTTAATTTTTAAGATGTCAGGGGGAAGATGCTTACACACACAATAATATATTTCATGAGAACTTTTGGAACTCAAAACACTAGCAAGACCTGAAAATGAAATTAGCCCTGTATATGATTAAAGAGCAAAAAAGAAAAGGAGGCATTTGTTTTCTAAGATAAAACTGGTCAATTAACCAAAATAATGGGCCCTTGTTCGGCAGCATGTGTCTTTATAAGAAAATTTTAAACCAATTTGGGTTAATTTAGGACGTCTATCAATACCAAACTTTGGGACATTTTTCAATGACCTCCCATTGAAACAATCCCTTTGTCTCGTTGTCTCCTCCACGGGTCAAAGCCTACTTCTCTAGTTTCCTCCATTGCACCATTCTATTCATTAATTTGAATCTTGGTTATACTCTTGTTACATGCTAATCTTGGTTGTTCAGAATTTTATCTCCTCTTATTTCAGAAATGAATGAAATATTCTTCTATACCCACAACAACAGATTAAAAGTGAAGGTAAAGCAATTAAATCTAATTGAATGAGCATGAGTGATTTGAATTTTGAATGGGGTGTCACAATGAAATTGATTTAGACTTTACAATTAGATGAGTAAGGGCTATTTTCCCCCCCTAACCTGACCCTCTGCTGTAACCTTCCTCAAAGTAACATTCAACTTGTCCTTATCCTTCCTACCCTCTCCAACTTATGAATACAATTCATTGATAACTTTTTGTGTACCTTCCCGTTTCAAATTTGTTTATGAAAAACTCGCTGTTGTACTATATTCATTAGGATGATGACAAACAGGATTAACTTAGTAGCCATTTGATTTAAAGTTTGGTATAATTAATTTTGATGGGATTTATTTTAAACTATTGAATATGATTGAGATGTGTAATGAAATTATTCTTATCCACATATTTATATTGAAACCTATGTTTTTTATTTTTTTTTAAAATGTGAGATTTTATTTTTAACTTTAATGGAACACCCGATAGATTTTTAACTTGAAAACAACAGACTTTGATGCTGCAGTTTATATTGAGGCAGAGGTTTGTATTGTACCATAGTTTTGTATTTTTCTGGGCTTACGGTAACTTTTCGTCCACTGTCCTATGGGTTTTGCATATATTTGTGATCAGAATTTTCGTTTTTTCCATTGACTTGCTCGCTGTTACAAGGAAGTTAAGAAGCATAATAATGAACATAAGGAGTAATGCTTAACTGCAACCCATTTGTCATTTGTTCCCCTCCCCCTGCTTATGTGTTACTTTCAAGTAGTATTACACGTTTAATTTTTGTTAATTAAATCCATTACTGATACAAACAATTGACATGGTCTTTGTTTCGATGATTTTCCCAACATGCATATTGTTGTTTATTGAAATCAATTATTAACACAAATATGTCATAAAGATAAAAAGGTTGCACCTTGGTCAACAAGTATTTATACATACAATAGTTGAAGGCCGATATTGCACCCAATAAAATACCAGAATTACTAGTAATTTTTAAAAATTAAAAACGTAAGTGTTTCAGTGTTCTTTTTTTTTCTTTCTTATGGAGCTCCGCAAGATAACAATTATTTATTAGCAATTTGGCAAGAAAAAACTTTTTGGCTACTCAGTTGCAGAATATCAATGTATGTACTCTGATTCGACACGACACCTTGAAGGAAGGAAGACCAATGCCAAAAACATATATATAGAAGCTGAAAAATACAGTAAGAAGAAGAAAGATGGCATCAGTTCAAATCGACAAATGCTTTCTATGTAATTGGACTTTCCAGACACACTGAAAAGCATATCTCAGGAGTGTCTTCACGCGCTTGCAGGGTTACTGGTCTTGGAAATTTGGAATAGGTATCCAGTGGAGGGAAACACTAGCTTAGAAGTAATTATAATGAAAAATGCATCCAAAATAATGTTACTAACATTTCTTCTATTTTACCCTGAGCGATAATTCAAGACATGGATGGAAAAGGAGACACAGCAAATGCCATTACCCCTTTTGCTTGGGGACTTTCTGTACTTTTTAACAAAACAAAGTTTAGAAGGATAGAAGGTATGCTTCAAAGAGGACTTTCTGGTAACTGGTAGCTTACTTGTAAGAACCTAATCATCAATAAGCATAGCACAACTAACTTATGTAACGGATTACCAAAAGAGAAATCTGACAGCACTTTGTCAGCTTCAAACTCTGTTGGAGGATGAAAAGGTCAATGGCATTCCTTTGAATACTCTACTATTAATTTAAAATTATTAAAAATCACAAAATTATTTATGGAAATATAAAGTGAAATTTATGTATGTTTGTGAATCCTAATAAATTTCAGCATATAGGGGTATGTTAAAGAATATATTGTTTGTGAATCCAACGCATTTGTGATTCATATTTCAGTGTTAGCAGCACAAAGAGCAGACAAATCATGATACCATATTGCATGAGAAAACTGTCATACAAGGAGAAAGAAGGCCATGAAGATATAGTTTTCTTTTCCAAATAAAAAGAAACAGAACGAATAATGTAGAAAACCTTAGAATATTTCTAACAGTTACAGCAATATATTGTTACAAGCTTGTGCCAAATTGTCAATATATATATGTCCTTAAAAGCATAGAAGTCATAGATCTAGGAATAATTTAGCTTCTACTTACGCTGGCTACTTGGTTTACAATTCATACATTAAACACATTGAAAAGCTCTTCAATCCTATATAGTTTTCCTTCAAAGATGGAAGAAATTTCCTAAAGGATACCACCAGCAATATCAGAGCCAAAACTTTTCAGTGATGAAGTCTAGGTTATAACTGTGATCTCCAAGCATCATGGTCCAATGCTTTCACAGGAAAAAAAAAACTCTACACGAATTATAGCTTATAAAGCGATCAGCAGATTCCCCATTTCACACTTATGGAAAGAAAGTGGAAAAAACAAACCTTGATGCACATAATCATCCACCAAAAACCCAGAGTACAGAAATTCACTTTTTGGGATCCTTGACTGATCATTTCTATTTACAAATTTATGAGGCAGTGACCCACAGCAGAAAACTCTTGACAACCCTGCTGCAATCTTACCATTTACCTGCAGTAATTTGTCAGACAGTCCACAAAAAGTATAAAAACTAGACACCTAGGCTGATCCAGAAACTTCCTCTTAGCTAAACATCCACTGTCCAGTTAATGTTATTCGTATTGCTTTCATGTGATTTCTGTAATTGGGCAAATTTGGCATGGTATGCAGCTGCTGCCACAGCAGTCTTCACCCTCTGACCTTGAGGAAGCTCACAGGCTTCACTCATAGAAGCAAACCTTAGCTCAGATGGAGGAATGAAACAATCCATGGAAAGGCCAGGGACATTGAATGCCACCTCCTCAATTGTCCATGCTTCTTCCATCCTGGTTTTAGTGTGGCTCATTGCCGTTTCCCCAAACCTGAAAAGTGTCACTACAGAACGACCCGAGTGAGCAATCATTATCCCCTCAACAGGCCTGTAGTCATCAAGAAATGAATTTATCGTGGTCTCCCAATACACTGCATCACCACCATTGTTCTGAATGCGGGTCAAATGGGAGTCTTCCAAGTGAACAAGAAGTCCTGTTTTCTGGCTAAAGTACCCAAACAAAACATGCCTTATGATCTCCGCTGGGCCTTCACTCCTGGCTTTTAACGTAGAGGGATCTGCACAAAGCTTGAGAATGAAACAGTCTTCTTCATTTATCTTCTTCTCTCCAATGCATCTTGCGTTGATAAACATACTAGCAGTTGTTCTTGGATCAAGACCCTGCAGATACAATAGATGTCAGCAATGAATAGGATCGCTAACTCGCCACGCATAAACCTAGTACAGAACAGAGACAGCCAAACAGAAGGTAACTTCACCTGAAGGGCGCGTCGCAGAGGTCTAACTGGCCCTTTCGCAGCATGTGCACCGAGCCAGGGCGTGTGCCGCCACACTAGCCTCCCATTGCAACCAGCATGAACCTTGCTACCACCAAGAGCAAGCTCCACATACCACATGTCCGGATTCATTTGCCACAACACAAACCCACCTGACTCCGCTGCTTTCGAGGAATTCCGACTGCGAGTAACCTTGTTAGCTGTCTCAAACTCAGAGGCAATCATCCTCACCTTTCCCATAGCATAAGCATTGTTAATGGAACTTTGAAGCTTTTGCCCTCCCGAAGCAGCAATGTACTGCTGCAATATATACTGAGCAGAAGAAGTTTCCTACAACCACACCCAACAAGACCATCAATAACCGATGATACCCCCATAACAGAAAACCACACACAAACACTCACAAAACCAGACCACATTAAGTTCTGCAAATGTCAACTAAGAAACCATTAGCCCATAACATAAAACCCACCAACCACATTCACCGATCTTTAGAATAAAACAAATAAAGTAAAGGAAACAACTTCTGAACCTAAGGCTATTTGATCTGTAAATATAACAACTAGGAAAGACAAAAACAACGGTTAAGACTAATCCAACATCAAATAAAAAACAAATGTAGAAATAAATGAAGTGAAATTCAAACAGAGAGAAACTAACAATGGGAATGTCTTTGATACTGAGATGAGGAAAAGGGTCGGTGGTGCAAACGTGAACAGGAGCGAGTGGTGCACCCAACACACCAAGCAGTAACCTCAGATCGGACCTTTTGCAAGCAGAAGATGAAGAAGAAGATGAAACAGAGGGTGCCCTAGCGAGTGGTCCTTTCATCCATTGGCCCCACCTTCCTTCTCCTCGTGAAGATTCTTGCTCATCGGTTCCGTCGGGACCTTCCTTCAAAGGCGACAGTGCTTCTGTAGGCCTCAAGCTTCCCGATCTCGCAATGAACAACTCCGGCGGCGGCGCGTGCTGCTTTCTCCGCCGCCGGAGTAACGACGACATGGGCGACGCACTCCTCGCCGGACTCTTGGCGCGTGACCTCGCCGGCGACAGCCCCCGAACCACCTCGTCTTTGAGGGCCGAAAAGAACCCTTGCTTCCTCTCCATTTTTACAACTTTGCCACAGGCGAGTGAGTGAAGGGAACACACACAACTAACTGATTACAATTTAGAAGAAGCTTTGTTTGTTAAAAATGAGAGAGTGAGCGAGTGAGTGAGAGAGAGAGAGAGGAAATATCATAAGCAACTGATTCGGACAATGTTGCCGCGAGACAAGTAAACTGTGGTCTACAGTATTGTGCGCTAGATTGCTTCTTACACTTAAACAAATTACCTACTTTTAAAGTTTCTTTTTCTTTTAGTAAATTAAAATTAAATTATTATTTTTTTAAGTTCAGATATTATTGGATGTCTTCAAATTTTAAGGACTTAAAGATTATTCTTTCTTGCAATTTATGACAATTGCTATCGATTATGCACACGTAAATGTAATGTAACTTTACACTACTGCATTAACTTTTTGGGTAAAATAAAATAAATCTGTGACTTGTTTTTTATTTGTTGAAAAAATAAGAATAAAGAAATGATGGCGTCTCGCTTTTTTCGGTGGCTCATTGTTAGAGTATGGATCTGGCTGGAGAGGGATAGTGAGGAATTGGATTGGGGCATGGGAAGGGGACAGCGACTAAACGACGAAAATTGGTCAGGTGATACTGATCCTCGCCTCAGAAAGAAACGGTAAATCAAACGGCGAATCGTTTTTGGTCCTGCGAGGACAACATGTGAAAATGGTAATTTTATTTTTACAATTTTTTAAAAAAATTAAAAAGATTATGAAATTTAACTGGACTCATGGTTATGATAACCACAGCTAGGTAGTAGTAACGAGGAAGGTCAAATATAGCGAAATGCGCCGTTAGCAATGGTCAAAACGAAGGGGTTTTATAATATAGAATAGTATCGCCTCCACTCTCCACCAAGCTAAATCACCAGCGAGCATCATCATTTTGGAATACTTTAATCAGTGCAGATCCATGATGAGAGACATTTTCAAACAATCACCAACCTCGGCATGCGCTTTAAATTACACTATTACATTTATCCATTAATATCATTTCATTTTACTTTAATATCAAAATTATCTACCTATTTTAAATTATTTATATCAATGCACTCCTTTTAACTAAGAAAATTTTCATTCAAGTCATACATCTTTATTTTAAAAAATAATTTAACTATTTTATAAATGTTTTTTAACATATTTTTCTTCAACAAAAACTATTTATGGCTTGAAAAAAAGTATATGCCGTTTTTATTATATTGTATTTTCCTTCCTTTTAATCAACAATACCAAAGAAATTAGGTCAAATTTTGATAATTTTTTAAAGAAAACATTAGTATAAAAAATAAATAAACTTTTTTATTATAAATTGAAAATAATATATTCTTTTATTTTTTTTAAAAATCCTCTCATTTAACTTCTCTAAATTAAAGAGATAAATTATTTTTAATTTATAGGAGAAACTTTATTATTTTTATATTAATTTATTTTTTATAAAAATTTATCTAATTTAGATCTTAATCTCCTATTAAATGATCAATTATCATTTAAATTTTGATTCAAGGAAGTATTTAAATCTAATATCTAATAGTAATTTAAAAGATGTACGCGATGAAAATTTCCTTCGAAAGAGTAAAGACTTGTTTGAACGAGGGTTATTTCATTTTTCCTTCAAAGAAAAACAAACTATTAATTAGTGTAGAACTTTTCTATATATATTGGAAGAGAAAATTAATTTGGACGGCTAGAAATAGCAATTGAAAGGGAAAGATTATGATATTTCAATATTCATTGAGAAGGAGTAGTGCTACTCTTGTTCAGAATTCTTTAAAAAATTATGAAGGGTGGGGTGGGGATAATTTATAAACCAGTTAATTATTTACTTATTATATATAATCAATTAATTTGGAAGCAAATAAAGAAATCATTATTTTCAACCACGTAAGATATGTGACCTTAATCTGGGAAACGATTTGTCTTGTTGCTGTGCTAAATCATAAATGTTGCTTCCCAAAAATTACGTAGACATTAAAAATAAATAAACCAGTCGCTCAAGATTAATGAAAAAGTGGCGAGGGACGGTAGATAATGAAAGAATATACATTTTCTTAAATATAAAATTGATATAAAAACTACAACCAATAACATCAAAGTAAATATAAATGCATGTATAACCAAATGACGCACATTAATATGTGTCTTACCTCCACTTATATAGGATTTTCCTCTTCACTTTTTATACTATCATCACTTGGGTGGGTACATAGTTTAACAGTGTGGTTGTCACAGCCAGTACAAAGGTTTTTAGCGTTTGTGTGTACCTTAATATGAATCTCGTTAAAATTAGTGTGATTATAGGTTACCCGTATAGAAGATTCAAAATAGGACACACTTACACACGTGTGTCCGGTTCACTTTAAAATTTATGGCCATTCAATAGTGCAATGTGTACTAAGGCCATTGATCATGGTTTATCAATGAAAAATGCTATATATATATAACACTACAGGGGCTTTGGAAAACAAGAAAAGCATGACAGAGAATGGAATTTTCTCATTCCAAAATCTCTAGATATCACAAGTTTTAACAAGGCATAGAGTGAACAAATAAATGGCATTGTCATTGAGGGACGAAGGATCACAATTGCTCTTGGATCTTTCAGTCAGCCATCATTGACTGTCATATTATATAGTTGAGTTTAATTAATTTTATTTTATAAAAGGAATTTTATATATTTGTCTTGTCTCACTAATACACATTGATCAAGACTAAAACAAGTTTAAGAAGTATATAAACCCTCGTATATTTTAGAAATGTGATACAATTACTAAAAATATTGCTTATTTGTATCGGTTAAATTTTATGATTAGAGACAGTTAAATCAACGTTAAAATTATTGATATAAAGCTAAATTTGTAAATTTGTGACAGTTATTTAACAGTAGTTTTGAACGGCTACTAAAATTTGAAATCCAAATTTTAGACTGTGCGTAGTAGTGTTCTGTTTTTTGTAGGACAGTGTTCTATTTTTGGCTGACAGTGCTCTATTTTTTACTTCCACACTTTTTTTCATTTTTATCTTCTACTTAGTTCTTTCTTTTGCTATTTGGGTTCACATTTCATTTCTTTTTTAACATCACAACATATATATGTTATATAATTTGTAGTGTAGAACCATTGGAGAAGAACCAATTTTGGAGGAAATGAAAATGATAGTAGAAGATTACCAAGGTTGGAGAAAACATTTTGGCGGTGGCGGCGGTGGCAGCAATGATGGCAAGGACAACGATGGTAGTAGTGGCAAAGAGAATGGTAGAATTCATGAGGTCAAGGTGGAGATGAATGATAGCTTTGACTGGATAATAGAGAATAGGAGAGAAGTAGTGTTTTTTATATTATGTTATCGTGACGCTAAATTCTGCCTTTTTTTGCGGCAGTTACATAAAACCGTCACTAAATTATGCCGTTAAATTTCGCATTCTTATGGCAGTTATGCAAAACTACTGCTAAATCCTGCATTTTCTATGACAGTTACACAAAATTGCCAAATTACCACTAAATCCTATTTTTTTTTAGCAGTTATTAAAACCGACGTTAAATATTATTTTTAAAATGATTTATTGACAATTATTATTAATCACCACTAATAAACCATAGCTAAATGGCGTATTTCTTATAGTAATTGGAATACATTTTAGTATTCCTATATCTCAACTTAATTTCACACAATATTTTAAAAATATATAATTAAATATTTTACAGTGACAGTAAAATTTATTGATTTACTTAAAATATTAATATATTTATATTGACAAATTTTTTCTATTTTTTTTGTGTTCGTAAAGCACTCCATAGCTTTATTGCATTTAAAATTTAATGACTTAGTTTTCCATAATAATCAAATTTATACCTTTTGTCAAACTATTGGGTAGACCTAATCCTAACTCGATCATTAATTGGGATATAATTAAGTTTAGTTTGAGTTAACAAAATTAGCCCAATTAAAAAGTATATGAGAAGCATTAATGTGTCATATCAAGTTAAACTCATTTCAAATGCATACTAAAGCAAAAATCTGACGAAATTTACTGTGTAATTTCGTTGTATGCTGCCTAAATACATCCTTTATATTCACTATTTATACGCAAAAAACTAAAATATTGAACCCTACCGTTTACATGAAAAAGTATTATGAGATTTTATATATATATATATATATATATGTTTGATTCAATTTTAAAAAAAATGCTTGTTTTTTATTTTTTAAAAACTGTAAAAATAATAAATTTTCTAAATTTTATTATTTCTGAATAAACACTTAAACTTATCAAGTGATAATAATTTAGAGGTCTTAACTTTCAAGTTTTTAAACAAGGACCTTATAACATATTATATTTAATTGTATATTTAAAATAAATTTATTTCCATCTCAAACACGATCATTTTTTTGTTAATTTTATAATTTGAAAAAAATAAATAAATTATTATCATCAATCCCTACATACTAAATATAGTTCTTATAAAGAATTTTTTATTACATTCCATTTTTTTACATATAACTTGATCATTATTTGCACTTAAATTTTCATTATATATATTTTTAGTATTTTATTTTTTTTCTAAATTATATGTATCTTTTATAAGAAATTTCAAGTAGACTATTATAAATAACCCAAAAAAAAATTTAATATAATTATATTTATTAAAATTCAAACTTAAAGTTACGCATTAAATTAAAATAACACCATGCACACCACGTGTTTAGTGGTTCAAGTGAAGTCTCAATTTTATTTATCCGTTTTTAATAAAAAAATTTAATTTAAGCTAGTTATTTATTTAAATTAGTTATACATAATCTTCTCATAATTGAAATTTTTGTCTATACCTAAATATTTTATTTTAATTAAAAATATTAAGATAATATACAAAAGTTTATACTTAAGTATGGTGTAGTTTATATTAGATAAAAGTTGTAGCAAGGAAATTTAATCTAATGTCAAATTTTATTTATTAATAAAAAATTATTTGACATCCCTGAAAGGAATGAGTATGTAACTCATGCCGATGGTAAAAATGAACCGATCCCTTTGTAGAAATTGATTTAAAACTTGTTTTGGAAAATGAATTAAATATGTTTTTGGAGTTCATCTCTCAAGCATGATATGACAGAATTTTGATTATTGATTTTCTCTCCGACAAACAAATTAATTAGACTATTCAAAGATGCTCA